CTTTGGGGCTCAGGGGAGGGAGGGTTGGGGGTCTCACCTGTAGGATTTGGGGGGTTGGGTCTCACCTGGAGGATTTTGGGGAGCCCAGGGAGGGGTTTGGCATCTTACCTGGAGGATTTTGGGGTTGTGGTCTCACCTGGAGAATTTCAGGGTGCCCATAGGCTGCTGCCAGATGCAGGGCTGTCCGGCCTCTGTGGTCAGCAGCATCAGGATCGGCTCCCAAGACTAGCAGGTCCCGCACAATTCCTGGGGCTCCCGCTGCTGCTGCCACCAGCAGCGGGGTCTGGGAGGGCAGAAGGGGGGGGGTCATGGGGATCTGAGGGAGTCTGGGATGGAGGTCAGGGGGTCTTGAGGATAAAAGAAGTGTCTATGGGGGTCTAGTGGAGGGAAAGGGAGGGTCAGTAGGGTCTGGGGGAATCAAGGGTGGTAGGGAGAACCTGGCACCCCCAACCCCCAAATTATCACCCTGGTGCACTGTTACTGTTCTGATTTGGGAAAGGTCATTAACCTTTCGAGCCTGCGCAGTGGATTTTTTAGGTGAGACACAGCGTGCGCTGAACTGAGCCCACCCTTTAATCCTGAGGTTCATCTGCCGGGGCCGAGCAAGCTTGGACAGTGGCAGTGAGGGTCTCAGGACGTAGGTTTGTTTAGAGTGACCTTCTCTTAGATGGATGGCCTTACAGGGCTAACGAGCTCCATCTGCCTGGGGGGCTGGGAATCGAACCCGGGTCGCAGCGGTGAAAGTGCTGCACCCTAACCACTACACCACCAGGGGCCCCTTGGCCTCTAATTACCCCATTACTGATTACCCCTTTTCCCCCCATCACTCACCCATCACCCCATTATTAGTCTGTGACAGAACCCTGTGATTAATTACCCCAGAATTAACTACCCCACCCCCATAATTAATTACCCCCATAACCCTGGGGGCACGCCATTCTTGCCCTTTTACCCCCGCCACCCCCTTATTGCCCCACGAGGACTCACTTACTGCCCTCATAGCCCCCTTTTTTACCCCTTGTGCTGCCCCCTCACCTTTCCCAGGTGCTCCCGCATCTCGAGCCCTCCCAGATCCCGCAGAGCCTCAGCTGCAGCCCGGGCGGGCACCCGCAGCCCCCCTGCACAGAGCACGTGCAGCAGCCTGGGGATGGAGGGGGGTTAGAGGGAACTCCCTTGACCCCCAGACACCCCCCCAGGGATCTGTCACCCTGTGGCTCCTCTCAGCACCCCACAACTGCCCTGGGGGCTTCCCAGCACCCTTCTTGCCCCACTGTCTGCACCATTGACAGCCCCATTGCCTCCCCATTATCCCCCCACTGGCCCACTGTTGCCCCCCTTGGCCCACCACTGAACTCCCTGTTGACCCTCCTATTTACCCCCCATTCACCCCACATTGACCCCTCATATTGACCCCACATTCACCCCGTTGCCTCCCCTTTGCTCTCCCATTCTCCTCCCCATGGGCCCCATTGACACTCCACTGATCCCCCCCGACTTCCCCATTTCCCCTCCCACTGGCTCCCCCAGTGACTCCCCCATTTGCTTCCCCCATTGACCCTTCCATTGCCCCCCTCCACGGATCTCGCCACTGCCCCCATTGAGCCCAGCCCATTGACCCCTCATGGAGAGCCCCCATACCCCCCATGACCTCTGTACCCCCCACGGCCCCCATGGTCCCCCCTCACGTGTCCCCCTCCTCGTCCTGCCACAGGAGCTCCCAGGGGTCTTGGCCCCACAGCACAGCACGGGCGACCGCCAGTTCCCGAGGGTCAAGATCAGGGTCTGAGGTCTCCCTCCCCATCGGGGGGCCCCCAAATTCCCCACCTGGCACGGGGGGGTGGGTCCAGGCAGGGCCAGGGGTAGCAGCAACCTTGGGGGGATAAGCAGAGATCAAGGGGGGGGGGGCCTGGAGCCCTGAGGGGTAACTGGGACCAGGCCCCCCCCAAATCCTGCCCCAGTAACCCTCCCATTTCCCCCCCATTTCTCTCCCTTTGCCTTACCCAGCTGCCACCCCATTGTCCCCTATTACCCCCATTTTCCCTATCTCCCCCACTGCTTCCCTCATTGCCCCCTGTGGCCCTCCTATTTCCCCCATTCCCCCTCATTTTCTCCCATTCCCTCCCATTGCCCCCCTTAACCCTCTCATTGCCCCATTTATCCCATTGCCCCCCATTTAACTCCCAGTTGTACCCACCATTTCCCTCCCATTGCCCCCCCCGACTTCCCTCTCACCTGAAAACCCTCCAGACCATGGGCCCCTTCCCCATGGGCCCCCATCAGGCCACTGGGGGTGGACACAGGGGAGACCCCACAAGGCTTGGGGGTCACTAGATGGGGTCTGGGCCAGGTGGCACCTAAGGGAAGACCAGATGTGAGGGGAAGAGACATAGGGGAGGGCTCGGGGTTGATTGGGAAGGATTGGGGAGGGCAATGGGGGGACATGGGGAGGATTTAGGAGGCACAAGGGGGGATTGGGGGAGCAATGGGGGGGGAACTGGGAGGCATGAGGGGGACAATTGGAGCCACAGAGGGGCACAGGAGGGGAGTGGGAGGGCAATGAATGGGATTTGAGGGACACCGGGAGGGTCAGAGGTCACTCACCATGCACAGGGCGTGGGGCGGGCACAGCCAAACCCTGGAGGGCAGAGGGGACAGTGAGGGGGTCAGCGAGGGGAGGGGGAGGAGGGTATCCCTGAGGGGAATGTCACCTGGAGGAGGGGGCGCGACTCACCGAGGGTCTCGCCCCTTCCCCGCTCCGCTGCTGCCGCAGCTCCTTCAGCAGTTGCTTTACCGTCTGGGGGGGAGTTGCGCGGGGGGGGCCTGAGAAGGGGCAAGGAGGGATTTGGGGGGTTACCGGAGTGCCTGGGAGACCCTTAAAACTCCTGAGATCTCCCCTGAACGCCTGAGATCCCGCCAAACTCCCAGGACCGCTCCGGACCCCCGGGTACCCCCCAGACCTCCGGGGGTCCCCCCCCCGAACTCCTGAGACACCCCCCCAAAACCCCCTACGCCACCCGAACTCCCGACCACCCCCCCGCC